TTGATCTGAAACGCTTTTTATGGGAAAACTTGACAATCAGATGCTTTTATTGTTCTCTATTTAGGAGCGTCTATTCAAACACAAATTTATCTCACTTTAAAAATTGAGCTAATTACAGTTAAGAATATGTTTTTGTTATGTGAACCCGCTATTTATCTGTCAAATTTCTTTACAGTTTTTGCACCTCAATTCTTTTGTTTGAGCGGAAGTGATTTTCCACAAATACAACACGTTTCAGAAACATTACTGGGAAGCTGCAAAATGAGAGTAAATTAACTTTTCAGTGGTAAATCCACTAAAATTTAGAGAAGTTTGTCGCCTGTTTTAAAAGATAACTTGAAAATTTGTTTTCATTAGGAAATGAGCTCTGAGAGAAACTACTCCATTTCCATTTTCCCTTAGCAGAGATGTGGCAATGCGCTTCTTATCATCTCAATGTTTAGCTTTTGGAAGGTTGCCTGAAAATGTTGCGATCTGATCAAATTTAAGTTTAGTTAATTGAACTGAAACTTGTTAATGTGTTGGACTTGTCACTATAACTTTCCACCAACAAAATCATTTCGTATAGAAACCAATTCATTTTATCCCACAACCCGCAAGTTAGATATGAGTTAGATATTTGATTAGATCGGTTAACAGTTTGTAGCTGTTCTCTTTCTAAATATAGACTGAAAGGGCTCGATCTTTTTAATTGTGCGTTTATTTATTATTGAGGAAGGGTTTATCTATTTCAAGTCTAAGCATACCAAGCGGCAGTTTTATCAAACGTTTATCTTCCATTCACCCGACAAGATATTTAAAAAAAGGAATTTTTGCTGAGAACTCAAACAAAATTAAACAAGTAATAGGAGTGATACACCCATTACTTAAAATCACTTCTGTGACTTTGCTGCTTATTTTTACCACAAAAACCTTTGAAAACTTTCATGTTATGCATTCAGTTGGCATAGTTTTACACTTTGGAAATGTTGTCGCAATTATTATTAGTCACGAGATTCTGCTCACTACAAATTATCCAAATGAAAAACCCACAAAGCAACAAATAAACAATAAACCCAGCACAGTAGAAGGTTTTCGCACCTCTTTTGTCCAAAAGATAACAGCACGCTTACTCCACCCTTGGGAAATTTAAGCTAATTAACTTCACCCCGTTGATTACACATTACATTCGTCACATTCTCAATTCATGAGTCGGACGCGAGCTCCGGAAATTTTGGCCTGAAAACGGAGAGTTTTTTTTTTCCTCCGCTTGCAGAAAATACGCGTCCACACGCAGCGTATTCGAATCGTTTTCGCCCGTCCACTCGAAAACGCTAAAACGATGGAAACACGATAGCATCCCTTACGGAGCATGCGTTATGCTTGTGATGTATGATGTCAGACGTATGATGTATTTAAATGATGTATGACATCATCGTATTCGAAAACTTCCGTTTTCGTCCGTCCACACGTACCGTAAATGACCTACCCTAATAATAAACGCATACTTCCAAGTACGAAAAAAAGTAAGTGCCCCCTTTGAGAATTAGTCCAAAATACTAGTTTCTTGCTTGATCAGCAAGGCTTTGCATTTTTCATCTTGTTCGATGTCAAGTTTAAAGTAAGGATAGACTAACGATGGCAGCAAAATAACCATGAGCGAGGACTAGATTCTAACATCAATGTTGGAATTTGAAAGAGTGACATGCATCTCTAGTCGGCCTAGACGTAAAAATTGGAGTGGATATTCCACTATTTTTAAACTCTTTTGATATTTTCGCCGAAAGCATATTACACTGTAGTTTTGTTGAGCTTGTTACAGTAAGTGAGAGTAAACGCCTCTCTCTTTTAAATGCCTCCTATCTATTGGACAACCCAGCTTGGACCCCTTTATTAAGTAATTTAAGCTCAGATCGAGAAGCCGGCGTTTTCAAAGTTCTCCATTCTAAAGATCGTTTTTGAATAGATACGCGCAGTTTTGGTGACGGTTTTAGTTAGGCCTGAACAGGAGAAAAACAACCCTTCTCAGACAAATAAAAACTAATACGTGTGGACGCGACCTCAGTGCACAACCTAACTTTGAAACTAAAAGTAAACTGCTTAATTATCGATTGAGAAAGTTTTTAAAGAAGGTATTTGTTGGCTTAGGTTAGTGCCTAGAGAAGGTATTTGTTGGCTTAGGTTAGTAGGCAGACCAATAAATTGCGTTTGCCGCCCAGGGTTTTAAACTAAAATTTAACGGAAACACATGTACACTAATCCTCCTAATATCGCTTGCTCTCCTGATACTCCAAGGCGAAGTTCCAACTGAGTTAAGTTCTAACACGTCAGATGATTTGTTTCTCTTGTAGCTAGGCATTTACCCATTTGAATTTCAGCTAATATAATAACGGTACCCAACCGAAGGATCACACCGTGAACGCAACGGCAACAAACGTTACCTTTCTAATTTCTTAACGGTGAGCAGCTCACAAAATTGTTGTGATCCTGTAATTTTCTGGAAGTAATCTACGTAAATATGTGAATCGCTGAAACCTCGTGAAGCCGGGTTAACGGCCATCCAACTCTGGAATTAAAAATAGAGAGGCAAAACAAGTAATATAAAGTAGTTTGTATTGTTTGTTTTTGTCTACGAGGTCTTTTTTCTACCACAATTAACTAGTTCTTTTCTTTTAAAGTCTATTTTCAACCCAACTCTATGACTTAGAGTCATGATTTTTCAAGCCATATGGGGTTGGAGCCAAAGTTTATGCGAGCGATCTGTCGTAAAAAGACACTATAAGACTCCCGTCAAGAAAATAAATTCTTTGGCGCGGAAGATTTGTGACTGTTGAGCCTACTTACCGTTCTTTTATTCATCTTTCGAAAATAATTCGTTAGGAGAGCTTTTTCCTGATAAAGGTTTCTCCGTGGATTTATTGACTCGCTATTCTTGCTTAAAATAAAATTAGTCTCTCTTTTTCCTCTGGGGCGCCCAAGAGAAAGAAAATGGCGAGCTTGTCCGAAGATCACCATCGTGAGGAAGTTTTTGTATTTTTTGTGGAGTAGATCATGAGCTCATGTTAATGCCAACTATTTCATTATCATAGCTCAATCACACGCAGCTCAGCTGAGTTTAGAAACCTTCCTTCCTTAGACTGCAGCACAGTCCGTATTTTTGCGTGTTCAAGTACGCGCGAGCAGTCAAACAAAAGGTCTGGAACGAGGCTGAGAACAGAGAGCGAGACAAGGTAGGGACGCTAAAAATTAACGCTAAAAATAGGGGCGTGTGAGGCTCGCGAGCTTCGCGCTCGTAAGACTCTTACGCCACGCCTTACCGATTTCTTTACTGATTTTGAGAAAAAAACCGACTGTTTTGCAGTCTATTCCTTCCTTCCCTACAAAACTCAGAGTGCTTCTATTCCCATTGCGTTATTCCCGCATGGTGTCAATCTTCAAGCAAACAACTTTCACTCAACACAAGTTTTAACTCTCCAAGTTCTTTAATATATTTTTATCTTGACACGTTCCCGAAAATGGGGTTGATCACAAATAATCATACTTTTCAACAACATTGATGGTTTTTGTTAAAAAAAGATGATAGTATTTTGATGTGTGCGGCAGTCAAATATTAGCAGAACTAAACTGAATTAGATAAATGAAACTCAAATATCATACTCAACAAAGAATTGAAAAACAGAGCCAGTCTGTCAAAGCCACTTTTGCAGTTATCCTAAGTAAGCTACGAACAGAGTGTACAAATTCTCGTGCAAACTAACCTGCCTGGATTTGTGCTAATAAATAATGATAGTCTTTCAAACAATAATTGGCCCTGACTTATACCAAAGCAAAACAGTCATAAATGGTATTTGCATTGAGAATAGCCTGTCCATGTAGGAAGTGCTTTTCATGGGCGCTTATACTTTTTGCTTGCTCTTCTATCTTAACCCTTTGAGCCCCAAGATCCACATACAAATTCTCGAGACTAATCTCCATACATTTCTTTTAAGAATAGTTGAGAGAATTTGGTTTAAAATCAAAGTGTTCTCCCTTTGGTAGTCAATTTAGTAATTCTCATAACTTTTACTCTTGATGATCTGCTGATGTTGTTAGGAAAAAATTAATGTTGGTCACTCTTGGGACCTAAAGGTTAAGAAAAATTAAGGACTACTTATAGCTGACACGAGCAGATCTAGGGGGAGGGTGCAGGTGTGCACAACCCCTCCCACCACCCACCCCCAAAGATGACCTGTGGCTTTCTAATACAACTGGTGTTCTGTATTAAAATCTGTTTATGTCACCAGTCGGTTACACCATTCCTTAATAGCGCACCCCCTGCTAAGAAAAATCCTGGATCCGCCCTGGTTGTGGCTCTCTGTTTTGCAAGCAACATTTTAAGTTAGAGAAACAAACAAAAAACTATTTCCAGTCTATATCTGAACCAACAGCAACATCAGCCTCACATACAAACACTCAATAGGCTTTGAAACTAAGGACACTGTCACTGTCACTAAGGATCAGTGGGCTGGGATTTCCCCTGGCCACTATGAGCACTACCCCCGGCTACTTTGAGAGGAAACAAAGGAAATAAAGAACATAGAAAACTTCCTAGCTGCTAAATTTATCATCAGTACAAATAATTTCATATATCTGGCTACTTGAAATCTTAGTGACAGCCCTGTGTTACTCGTTTTAATATCACAATAACTGCCTTCTTCCAACAGTAATTTGGACTAAATAAAAAACCTAACAGTCAATTAATCATACAGCAAGATTACTGTCAAATGCACAAAACCTTGAACACCGGAAATATTTATGAAATGTTATTGCGCTGCAATGAAAAGCCAATCAGGCATAAGAAAACTAAACAGCAAATAGCAATGGTAATAAAATTTGTGGTTTTGTAGTTTAATTGTATGTCCCGAACTTTACCGTGATTGGTCATTTTTTTAGGTGTTGACAGGTTTCTGAGTTTGACAGTTAAACATTCTAGACTTTTCTTACATTCTGATCAAATATGCAGGAGAATTGACAGGGAAACGTTATGCTTTTGCTGCTGCCTTGGTCAGGAACTGTTGATATTGCTGCTGTAGCTTGCTGAGGATCTCCTGACATCCACCACGCTTCTTTTCAGCTTCTTTGATGCCGGTATCATTTCTTTTTCTAAAAGAAACAAAAACAAAGGAAGGAAAAAAAGGCACTTAACAATATCTAAGGCAATATCTATTGCACGTATATTACAACCTTACAATATACGTGTTGCGCACAAACCAATAACCACTTTACGGCGACTGCTTACTAATGTCAAGGACAAAGACAAACCTGAGGACAGACAGGGAGCAGTATACAAGATCAAATGCTGCAACTGCCAGGCTTCTTACATTGGTGAAACCGGCAGAAACCTAAGCATGCGACTGACCGAACACAAACGCGCGACTAGGAATGGTGACGTCAACAATCACATTGCTGAGCACCATTTAAAGACGAAAGATCAAATTGACTGGGACTCTGCGACATGTATAACGTATTCTACAGACTACTATCAACGTCTTACTTTAGAAAGCTGGTTTACTAACTTAGAACAAACACCACTGAATCGTAGCCAACAGTTACCAGCGCTGTACAAACGACTTATTGACGAGATCAAGCAAAACTAACTAGAGAGAACAACTGGAGAACTGACAATTTGACTAACAATAGACGACTGTTTAACTGTGACAATAGACGGATCGAAACGCACCAATCACTGATTACAAATCTTCATAGCCAATAACATCACGGCTTAACTGACAGACGACCAATAACATCGCGACATAATTGACCAATCAGATCAATAACCAGAGTATAATGCCATCAACTGACGTGATACAACTCACTTTGACTCTGAAGATGACTACCGCACAGGTTGTCGAAACGTCAGTCACTGTCAACAACAATAGTCCTATTCAGGACTACGTTCACCCGGACGATCAAACTCAACCTTTTGAATATCTAAGGTAGTGTTTAATAAACTGGCCTCAAAAACGGCTGAACGCACACTGATTTATTCATCAACGAAAAATAAATAATATACAGGTCAAGCGACTGCCACTGTAAGTGTCACCCAAATCAATCAATCAATCAATCAGTCAATACATACATATATAAATGCTTCAGGTTGCTCGTGACAGCTTCCAGAATTTTTAGGTATTCAGCATCAACAGATCAAATGTACCAAGTTGTTTGTTTGTTTGTTTTTTATCCTTCAATAATACTTTGTACATAAAAGGCTTAATAGAACAACAACAAAAAAGGCTCAACAAATAAACAACAAATAGAAAGGCTCAATGAAACAACACGCTTATGTAATAACGTGCTATCACGTGGGCGCACTTAAATGGCTTTTTTTTCACCACAAGCAAGAAAACTCTAGGAATTTCTTGTGTTTTTATTTTCAAGAGGGCTAAAACATCACAAATTTTGTTATAGTTATGATTAATTTGTAACAGAACTTCGTTTGGTCCAATTCTGTCTGTAATCATACAAATGATTTTAAAAGAGATCAGACGACCACGTACGATTCTGTCAATCACTCACATGATTACAGACCGAATTGGACTCCACTCGGTTCTGTTACCATTATAAACTGCCTCGTCATCTCTAGCTGATCATGAATAAGCCATTTGCACGATGACGTCATTTTACTACCACGACCAGAATCCTTTAGGGTTTTACTTTCTTGTGCAAATTAGGGCTTTTGTTATTTAAACCTCTCTGGGATTACCAAATTTAAATATGAAAGAAAAAACAAAAAGGATTCTGGTCGTAGTAGTAAAATGACGCCATCGTGCGAATGGCCTATTATTATTACTCATTGAAAAAGACCCCACAATTGTAAGGAACATACAGGTAGCTCCAAAACAGAGCCAAGTTTAAATGGGCCATGTCATGCTATTTGCCATCTTTTATAAAAGCTAAAACTTGTCTTCACATCACTTGAATTCCAAAAATAATGGTCCAGTTTTTTTCATTTAAGGCTATAATTATTTGGAAACTGAAACTGTTTCCTGCCATCTGTTCCGATAGCTGGTAAGGATAGACATTGACTGAAACTTGAAAAAGTTGGTTCAAATACTAGGCCTGTAAAAATCATCAAAAAAGTAAATAGTTCTCCCTGGTGAGATTTGTGTGATATCTTCTTGAAAACCCTACTGCGACATTTTGTGTATGCGTTAAGGCACTAAAGTAATGACTTCAGCACAGAATTGACCTAAAACAGCAGTATCCTCGTGACAGAGCCCCTTTAATCTTGAATGATGAATTTTCATTGTTTTAAATGAACACTGCAACAATGACATTCATCTACTCCTTACATTTCTGCAGTGATGTACTCAATTCGTTTTGCCACAGTTTGTTTAGCTTCCTCCAAATCTTGTTTCACAAGAACAGGTCCTATGAGCTTATAAACATTGCCATCTGCTTCTATTACATCTAGCTCCTGCAAACAAAAATAAAATTCATCAAAATCAATATGTTAGTAGTTGAAGTTCCAGTAATCATTCAATATTTCATCTTTTATACTACTACAGGAGAAATTTCTGCAATTTGATTGGCTTAGAGCAGTGGTATTTCAGCTTGATTTGAAATACCTACATGTGAAAATTACAAACCTTCGGCGGTAGTATAAACAAATAATAGCAGGATTTGTACATGATATTTGGCATAAATACCACTCGTGATATTTCAAAATTGTCTCAAATTTCACTTGCCTAACGGCTCGTGAAATTACGTATAATAATTTTGAAATATCACTACAAATCATGCTATTACCTATACTTATATCATCAAGGTCTTGTTTTGCTTATTAAAGGTCCTATATTTCATCTTGTATTTTTCAGTGATAACACCTATAAGAGCTACACTTTACATGCCACTTTGAAGCTCCTTAATGCAGATGTAGAGACAATTTAAATAATAAAATTACCAACAAATCTACTTCATAACATCTTATCAACATCCCCTTTGTAGTGACAACAATTTTTTAACCTTCTGTGTAGCCCCTCACCCCACCCCTACCTGTTTTTAAATGTGGGAATATCACAGCCAAATGTATGTTCAGGGATCTCAGGTAAGTATATAGCTGACCTCCACTAAAGGCAACCTCTCCACAATGGCCTCCTGTTTACAACAGCCACTTTTTTTCCCTGGCTGACAGTCCATACAATTGCCAAAATAACCTCTTGACAACAGCTAGTTTTTTCAGCAACTGACGAAAAAGTCAAGAATGTTTAAGAAATTTGATCTTTATGGCAAGTGGATGATTAATCGTGGCAATCATATTTTGATTGTATTTTTGATTGTCCTCTATTTATACAGCTGCAGTAAGCATAAATTGTCTACAATACTATGTCTTATAGCCTGATGAACCTTGCTTGTTTTGTCATGTTAACATTTTGATTCAATTTTTAAAGTTTTTTTGTGTATTCAATCTCAATATGTTATTTCTGAATGGATTACCATTATAGGCTATAGTACGCATGAACAAACTAAGAGGGCAGTGTCCAGGGAAATGAAAGGTCGTACGTTCCCAACTCTTTTGACTATGGGTATACCCTATATTACCTTAAACCAACCTTCAAGAAATAATTCATCTACAAATAATTTGAGGAAAATAGATCAGTATGGGGTTCTAGGAAACTACCGTATTTATTTGGCTATATGCTGAGTGATTTTTACACAAATTAAAGCTACAGTTCAGTGAAATGTGAGCCCAGTAGGGGGCTTTGGCCTATGGCCAAGAGTTTTTGATAAAAAATGTTTTTCAGTCTATTGAAACTCTACTAAACTCTCACTAAATGGAGATGTATTCACTTATTAGCAGCAAAAGATCGAATCGATCACATAACTACAAATCTGAATGTTAAGTTAGCTAAGCACAGAAATTCAGTCCCAAATTGTCCAAAGAGCTGACAAAAAACAGGTCTTACAACTAAAAATCTCACTTACAACGAGGGAAGGTGAAAAAAAAAAAAAGACGTTTGAGTTGAAAGTTTAGGGTCTCGGCTTATAGCCGAGATCAGCTTATAGCCAAAAAGAAAAAAAAAAATTAATACAGTACCCATTGTGTAATCTTTGGGTTAGAGAAAGGAGGGGCAGGCAGTTATAATTTACCTCCTTTACAACTTTATTTTCATTTAACTGGGCTTCTAACTGCTGTCTGGCACTGACTAGTTTCTGTATGTCTGAAGATGAAACAGAATACATATGATTATTAAGTCTGGGAATAGACCATTTTACAGTTGTGGGCTTATAATAATTAGTACCCTCGCCTTTGAATGAATGAGAGGCAGTGAGGTTGACCTTGCTTTGATACAAACCCCTTTTGCTTTGTTATGGAAATTGTCCTTGAAAATTACTAGCTAGCATAAGAACAACTTGATTTATATTATTTGATTTATTATATAATAAAGGTTTGTATCAAAACGAGGTCAACTCCAGCCTTGCTTCTATCTGTAACTGTTTCATGGCCTATTGCAGGTTACCATTATTTTTATCTATGAAGTACAGAGTATTCGAAAGCTTAACTAAATGGTACTGGCCAACTGGAAAAAATATAAGTTCGTAAACATCTTTTTAAATATCTGCATAGAGTATTTTTAAGCATAGGTACTTAACCCTTAAACTCCCTTAAGTTTAATGTTGAAGCACATAAAACAGTATTACATCTGAGAAAAGAAATTCCTGACATCCATACAGTACGAATAACTTGCTAGTTTTTCATCTTACAGTTTTTATAAGAATTACCTTTTTGGACGGACTTGAACTTTTCCAATTCCGTTTGCATTTGTTGCTGAATTCTGTCCAAGTTGGCCGCCATCTTTGATTTTGGCAATGAAGATCGCAGGCTCAATGAGACTTACAAGAGACAAGAGACTGGGAGAGAGACTGGGCCGACTACTGAAGTGAGAACGCCTGGTGGAAATTGGTAAATACGTAAAAAAGGAAGTGTATCTAATTTGACTAATGTTAGAGTTTTTGTTCTTTTTGAATTGGAAATTTTGCACGCCAAAGTAATCGGAGCATTCACTTATTCTAAAAATTTTCGCTGGCTGTTGGAGGATATGGTATTGGCAAGAATTTTTACCCGATGCCACCAGCTGCTCTTCACCAAAGCTGGAAGAAATAAAGGTGAGTTTTAATACTTCACTTAGATCGGGTTAAGCAAACTGTTCGCGCTATAGTTTTCCCCCTTTGAATGTTCCACCGCTTGAAACTAACATGTAAAATTTGTTAGTTTACAGCTAAATCAACATGATTTAGATGTTTGGCAAGTTTGTTGATCAATGCTTCAAAGTTATGTAATCAGGCTACTTGTTGAACCTCTCTCCAACGGCCACCTTGGGGACAGAAGAAAGTGGCCATTGTAGAGAGGTTGAAACAAGAGTAAATGTATGGACTGTCCGCCAAAAAAATGGCCGTTGTAGAGAAATAGCCGTTAGTGGAGCTTCGGCTGTACATTATTATTACCAGCACAGTTATGTGGATTCTATGCGCATTTTCAATGTGTTTTCTGATCAAGCCTTCCTTCTTAGGCTGCTTAGCCTTTACTTAAACCCAGAATCTAACACCTACTGGCAGTCAACCTGTACAGGCAGTTTTGTTGGCGAGTATGCATGGACAAGTGGCAAAGCCACTGGAAANCTTCTTAGGCTGCTTAGCCTTTACTTAAACCCAGAATCTAACACCTACTGGCAGTCAACCTGTACAGGCAGTTTTGTTGGCGAGTATGCATGGACAAGTGGCAAAGCCACTGGAAAATGAAAAATTTGTTGCCTTCCAATCCCAGGGCTGTCATTAAAAGGTGGGGGCCAGGGATATTTCCCCCGGCTACTACAAACGTGCCCCCCCGCTACTTTTATAGCAAAATAGAAGAAAAATAGAACCAAACGAAATCCCTAGCTGTTTGATTCCCCGCTTATTTGTTGTTTTTACCCGGCAACTTGAAATCCCTGACAACCCTGCAATCCCCAATCCTTTGATGGCTTCAGTGCTCATTTGCCTGTGTCCATGGGAAACTGGTCATTTCAATACAAACTTAAGCAGTGAAACTGCACAAAATTTTTGATCTCTAAAAGTATAGTTTGTGCATGGACAATAAAATATATGACATGAATTTTCCTTGTTCTACAAGCCAACTATGTGAAACTATGGAAACCTTGACTGAATTATTATGTAACAAAACAACATTGTATCAAAACAATTGGTAAGCTGCAATTGCCAATACAATAACCACCTACTACATATATGAAAGTTAACCCATTTTTACAAAACAGAGGGTATTGAGAATATTCCAATCCTTATGTCTTTTATGGACATGTTCATATTTTAAAAAGATATACTGCACACCCATTACCTTGCCACTGAGACTTATGGTCCACTTTACAAGTAAGGATACTTAAAGGAAAACTTCTAATGATTTTTTTTCAAATTCTCTTTGGACTAGTTCATCACTTCCTTAAGTTGTCAACTGCAAATACAGAGGCCAAGGAGTCAAAATTACATTATCTTTTGCTGATCATTCCCGTATCAACATTTGGTCTTGGTACGTGGCAGATCCACAGATTGCAGTGGAAGAAAGGTTTGATTAAAGAACTTGAGGAGAGAACAACTCAGCCAGTTCAAGAACTATCAGAAAAGTAACTGAGAACTCTGGTTTTTTGTTTAAATGTGGTTTTTGTAAATACTGTTTATGTTAAGATTATTATTTTGTCTATCAACTTGAATTATTGCAGTATCAATAAACTAAGGACAAAAGAACTGGAATACCGCCGTATCAGATTACGAGGAAAGTTTGACCATTCAGAGGAAATTCATGTGTTACCAAGGTCACTTAATGAAGGCCCACATGGTGGAGGGGGCCTGGGGCAGAGGCCAAAATCTGGTGCACACATCATTACACCATTTGACTTGTCTGAAACTGGGTAAGTTTCTCTTAATGGCTGTTAATTGTTTTTTTTTTCTAAGCAGTCTTTAAAAGAGAGTGTTTAACTAATATAATCAGCAACTACTGGTACATGTATGATCAATAATTGGGAAAAAAAATTTGGATAAACTATAACTAAAGGTTACAGAGTTCAGGCGATAACAATCAATGGTCAAAATGCTCTTGCTCCATCTCTGTGCCTTGCATAAGTTTCACGTCAGTAGATGGTCAAAACACAGATGATCAGATTACGAGTGATAAAATGTCCAAACATGCATGATCAGTTTGCAGTCTGTACATTCCATACATTCTGCTCTCACAGGAGGACAGGCATCAAACCATCAGTGACAAAATTGTCCAGGCACTGTTGTCAAATGGAGTATATACAGAATTAATATAGTAACACTATTACTCCTGCCATATTAATGTTACTTTTAGGCAAAGAATATTGGTCAATAGAGGATGGGTACCAAGGGATAAAATTGAACCAGAGAAAAGACCAGAAGGACAGGTGAATATGTTTTTCTTTTAACTATTTTAGACAGCCAGGCAGAAGACATAAGGCTATTTCAAATATCTACTTACCAACTGTATTTACTCAAGAAAGGAACACCTTTAACAAATAAGCAGCACCACCTCCAAATAAGTCTGCGTAGAACAGGAGCAATTAACAAGCACCACACTACCAAATACAATGCTACACTTCAGCACTGGTTAAAAGCACCATCCAGTAGTCTGGGACAAGTAGATTTTCTTGCTGGGCAGGTAATTTTTAAAGCACACTTGCCTGGTGGGCCAGGGTCCAGGCAAGGCATCTTCCAACTAAGGCGGGGTTCAGATACTGCACCACTCATGTGCCGAACCTAACTGATGAATTAAGGATGGCAAAAGAGCAGAGTCTGAATCAATGTGGTACAACAGTTTTAGTTAGGTGCGGCAAAAGTTTGACAGAGTCTGTCGAACTTTCGTCAAACTTAACTTAAGCTCAACACATGGTGCACCATCTGAATCAGATGTCGCACCAGTGTCACTCCAAAGTCAAACTTATTCAGTTAGGTTTGGCACATGAAAAGTACGGCATCTGAGCCAGGCCTAAATCATTGACTGAGATTGCTTTCCATTAATTTTGTCAGAACTTGCTGACCGGGCCAATCATTTTGAAAATGAAATAAGCTTTTTCCAAGGGTTTTTGCTGAAAAACCATCTCCTTCATGCATACTATTTAGGATTTGACTGATCTGGCTGAATAGTTTTGATTAAGAGTGAAATTCTCATGATGACAGGGATGGCCTGGCCTGTCAGTTCTGACAAATGGAAAACACCCTGAGACAAGCAAGTAGTTGCCCTAGGCAAGCAACATGTAGTGCTTGCCCAAAGGACATGCTAGAATTCAAGGTTTATTTCAAGTCTTGACTTTTATTCTGTTACTTAACTTAAAAATCTTCTGTAATTACTTAACTTTGTTACTGACTACACAGATCCAAGGAGAGGTTGAATTGGTTGGTTTCATAAGACAAGGAGAAAAGGTTGGTACATCTTCATTTGTGACATGTTGTTGAGGCTTGATAGTGTGACAACTCAGGGGCCAGTTGCATAAGCCTCAATGTCAGAAATAAGCTTCAACTGAGCTTGCCCTCACCTCGTTAACTCGGTTGAAAGCTGATGCCAGTCTACTGAGCAGGAAGCTGTGAGTTCAAACCCCCACTGGATCACCAACTAAGGTCTTTAAAAAACTGGTGCGATCATAATAGCTGTTATTAAAACCCTTTCTCAGTTCAGATTATCATGTCATTGGGTGGTGCATTAAGCTGTTGGCAATGTCTCCTTCATCCTTGCACATTAGTTGGAAGGGGACATCTTGTGCCGTCATTGGTTTGGGTGGGTGAGATGAGATCAAACATGGACTGAAGCAGCTGCATAGTGTGCCTTTACATGTCGATGTCTGATCTCACCTCTCTGGTTCCTCTGCAATCAGGTATTGGCTACAAGTTCATCCCAGGTAATCTCTTCTACCTTATGTCGGACGATGACAGTTACTTCTGATGTTTGGTTTCATGCAACCTTCATGCCCTAGGTCCCATGCCTCTCTCTTTCCTTTCCATTCCAGGGTTTAAGCTATGTGTTATGCCCATCAGTGGTAAATCTGGGGGGTCCCCTGGATGCCTATACACCCCTATCTTCTTACCCCAGATACTGTTTCCCGTTCTCACTTCAAATACCCTTGAAGAAAAATGGTACAAAAAATATTGTTGTAACTGAAGTAAATTTCCCCTTCCTGCGAACTCTCACCCCAACCCCTCAAAATCCTAGGTCTGCAAGCAAGCTCTCTGGGGCACTCTGGATACAGGGTGGGAAAAGAAGGGAGAGTTTGCAACTGCATATCTGGAATTTGAATTCTAACTCCAATTTCCCTGTGGCTCCCCATTGACTGAGCTGTCAGATTTCCGCCAATCAGCGCAAAGCAGAAACTAGTGCGAATGTAAACAAACATTAAAAAACAGTGTGCCAAGGGTAATGATGTCATTACTAATGTCATCTCTGCCAATCAGCATTTTGCATTGATTTTGTTTTGATGTAGATATTCAAATTCCAGCGATATAGTTGCAAGCTCTCCTTCCTTTTCCTGTCCTGCCGCCGGAGTGTCCCAGAGAGCTTGCTTGTGGGCTGCAAAATCCTATGTCTGCCCCAGGTCATATTTCGGGCTGACCTGCGCCGATTCCAGACAAGGTTTGTGATTGGCTGAGTGAACAATAGAGATGGTGACATAACAATGCCCCTATCCCTGAAAACAATAGGTGTTGCAGGTTATAGGGACCAATGAAATAATAGTTTTGGATGAGTGCAGGTCAATCGCATATTTTAGATGGATGGGGACAAAATCACCTTGTGCTTGATTGCAGGTTGAACGTGTGGAATTTAGACTTAAATGTTTCATGATATTTGCTACTGATTATTTACTGTTGTCATCTTTGTTTTATGTTTAGAGACAGCCCTTCCAGGCCAAAAATAATCCTGAGAAAAATCAGTGGTGTTCACGTGATGTGGATGCCATGGCTGAAGTAACAGGAAGTTTACCCATTCTTGTGGATGCTGATGCTGGTAATATTCATTTTCCTCAGATATCATCACTGTCTTGTGGTGCCTCCCATATACAAAAATGCTTTTACCCCTTGAAAGACAGGAGAAGCCCCTGTGGTTATAGGTCCCTCAATAATTGATAATTAATCAATCAACCGTACAATACTAAAAGTTACAGTCCCCCAATGTCGTCCCAGCTGGTTTAGAAACCACCTTTTAATCTGCTGGCTTCGTTCAAGGTGTCCTTTTAAGGATCATTTTTAGAGCTTGCATTTCCACTTAAAAGCTTGACTGTGATCGGAGCACGAGATTTATGTTTGAAGACGCGTTTGTCGCACCCTGCACTTTTGGCATGCTGTGACTTACCAAGGTGCTTACAATGTTTGAAAAAGGTACAGAAAGCTAAAGGACTGAGCCTAAAGATGTCCGCGCATGTAGTTATGAGAGTTAGAGTTAAGCCCAAATGAGTTGATTATTTTTCGTAAAACATCATTCAAACCTAAACTCAATGTTCTAATCCTTTTTTTAGCCAGTACCATTCCTGGAGGGCCGAAAGGAGGTCAGACTCGTGTTTATCTACGAAATGAACATCTTCAGTACATCATTACATGGTATGTATGCAGGTGGTATTTAAGGGGCAGGGCATTTTGGTACCTCTCAGGAGTTTTCGTGAAGGACCCGATCATATCCGAAGAGTACCGAAGATGGATTAGATTTCAGGACATTCTAAAATGTGTGATTCCGGGGATATTGGGATATTGCAATCATTCACACGCTATTCTCTTCTAACATCGTGTCAATTAACGTTGTGGTAGCTCAAATGTTCCGCTAGGTGTGAGAAATTGGTCCGCAAGTGTAAGCTGGTGTGATTTCGACGTTTTTTTCCATGTGTGTGAAAGGTCCTGGATTCAGAGTTGCCACGATCAGGGGATAGTTAGGCCGGAAAAACAATAATTTCTCTAGGTCCAGGAAAAGTCAGGAAAAATCTTTGACAGTGTCAGGAGCTCCTGTTAGTGTCAAAGTCAGTGAAAAGTCAGGGAACTATTTTTTCATCGGGCAAAATATCCCACAAAAGTGATAAAGTGTAAAGGGTTTGAACAGGAAAACGGGAGTATTGATGATCTGCAAAAAAAGGCCGGATTAAAGGCAAACGGGAATTGTTTTCATTATCGCGCATTTTCTCGTTTTGCGCACTGCAGTTTCTGGAGTAAGAAAAGTAACAATAACGCATAATTTTTTGGTTTTTTCAGGTACGCATTATCTGGTTTTACCGCTTATATGTACTACAGGCTGAGGAAGTCTCCAAATAAACCGATGTTTAAATGACTGTAATTGCTCATTTTACTGACATTAAAGGTATGTTCACACTGGCTATACCGGGTAGCTGTTGCGCCACCTCGAAAATCATAACGGATAGGGCTTCTGTTCTACAGTTGTGGCGACGCGATTTCTGTGCCGCGTCCGAATCTCTAAAATGGAGAATCACATATCGGATGGGTGCTCACACCAGCATAGTGTAAACACAGCCTGATAGTAAAATGATGTAAAATAATGATATAAAATTAAATAAAGATAGCTGAAACGAACACCATGGCAGTTTTCACTTTGTGGCTTATCTTGATCGGAACATTTAAGAAACGGGCCCCTGGTGAAAAACCGTTATGTTTACTGTCAAGAGATCTGTTTCAGTACTTTTGCAGTCAAAGTAATGGCGATAAACTATCAACTGACAAAGCAAAATTGACTGTTTTTTCAGGTAGGACCCGCGCTTACTCTTTAGATTTTTTAAATTTGAATATTTGTCACCAGAACTTTCGAGAAATAGACTAAAAGTGGGTTCCAGTGAATTTTAGTCTTTTCCTGAAAAAGCAGTTTTGAAGGTTTTCGACGATTATTTAATTCCCTTTCTTGCTATACAACTGTTATTCGTATCATTCATATAAAAGCTAGATTAATTTGAACGCCCCGAGACTCTCTTGACTCCCTCCCAACCACCAGCGGCCCCATCATTCACAGTAATTTTCAAGGAGTTATAATAACTCCTCTAGTAGGGTTAATTTAACTCCTTACTGTGGAGTTATTTTTTGGGGAGTTATTTTAACTCCAGACTGGGAGTAAAAAGAACTCTTTTTCAGGAATAAAAATTACCCCAGATTTGGAGTTAAATTAGTATAGGTAATAGCATGATTTGTAGTGATATTTGGCATAAATACCACGAGTGATATTTCAAAATTGTTAAACGTAATTTCACGAGCCGTTAGGCGAGTGAAATTTGAGACAATTTTGAAATATCATGAGCGGTATTTATGCCAAATATTACGTACAAATCATGCTATTATTTGTTTACACTACTACCCGCAAAAGGTTT